TGTCGCAAGTAGATCTTGCCATAGAATTAGCAATATCTTTTTGTTAGATTCTACGACACTCATAAACTGAGTGTGGTTTTAAAAAAAGATGTTTTGTTGACTACATCAGAACTGAATGAAAAGCTATACGATCTTTACTAAGTTTTAGCAATTTCTGATGTGCTGTACACTTCTGGTCTCTGTGACTTTACTGAAGAGATTCAAATAAAGCATTTTTCCTTAGCTGCTTAGCAGAAAGTGTACGGAATATTTCTCTTTATTTTCTGGTTGAATAGTTTGGTGAGTTGTGGTTTGTAAATTTTGTAATTGGATTTGGACTCAAAGAAAGGAGACTTTTCCAGTGTGATCGAAAACTCAAAAGAGCTTATCGATGGTGCGTTTCCTTGTTTAAGCTACCCTTCAGTGTAGGCAAGGCACCAATGTGTCCTCTTCCCACTCTCAAAGGGTAGTCTGGTATATTAAGTTCTTGCTATGCGTGGGGTTCCTCTAAGGACGGGACCATATATATAGTATGATCAAGTGCTAGTCAAATATATTACCCTTTCTGTCTTAGTTTTGGTTCATGTGATATGTGATATGTGACCTAACATTGTATTTGGTCCCCTTATTAAAGTATATATTATCGTCAAATATAAAATAACAATATAAGTTTAATTTAATATATGAGATATTAATATAATAAAACGATTAATAATTCTACAAATTTGTGAATATTCAAGAGCAAATGATTCGAGAGTGAACATTCAAGCAATCGAATATAAAATGCATCTAGTTAAATATGAGAGAAGAGAATCAAAATTGTCCTTTTTTTCTTTGAGTTAATTAGTAGTCCTTCATGTTTCAAAAATTGGTACATTTATATGTTTATTTTTTTAGCGGAACTTTTCTTTGCATGTGAGAAAGCATTTGCACGATAAATCTACTTTCATGTTGCAAACTAGATTTTCCCCTTCTTCTCCTAAACATGAGAGCACGATGAACAACGAGACAAACATGTTTAGTAATAGGGAATTCTAGTTGCTACTATGTTACCAGCAACGAGCTCACACTCGATGATCACCATCTATAATCTCAAACTTTTATATCTTTTTTTCCTCGCGTTTAAACAATCGATAATGAAGAAGACTCGAAGACTATTTTGCATCCATAAAAAAAAGAGAATAGGATTGATCAGATGGCTCACGTTCAACTATTAGAATAATTTAAATATTAAAATTACAATTTATAAAATCAAATTATTTTTTGTAACTATAAATTCGTATGGGAATGGGATTACAATTTTTGGAAACTTTTTATTTTTTTCCTTTCAGATTCCAACTTGGTTTCGGAAGTTAAAAAAAAATAAAATCTCTATATAAACGCAATTCCTAACTCTGTTTCTGTCTTTTTACTAGCAATCGATTTCATATAGCGAGGCTATACGAATTCAAATAATAACTCCATGGGAGAGAATTCGAGCCGGAAAAGAAAACAAGAAGAATTAGTCACTTCCTTGTCTGAGTCATCTTCTGCATCTGACTACGAAATTGATAGCTCCAAAAGGCGTCGTGAGGAGGAGAGGACAAAGAGAGAACGGAAGCATAGATGCAGCAACAGTAGTAGTCAGTGGCGGAGCCAGGAATTTCACGAAGAGTGTCCAGAAATAGCTCATTCCTAGGAGGTGAAAGCACTGGGCTACAATAACTTCTTGTGTTAAGGGTGTCCAAATTATGTTATTTAATCATTTCGTGTATCATTTTACTTGTATATACGGTATTATTTTCCGACGAAGAGTGTCCAATTGAACACCCTGACCACCATGTGGCTACGCCACTGGTAGTAGTAAGAGATCGAAACGAGAGGGGAAGAGGAAGGTCGTGGTGATACTAGTGTCTGGACAGATACCCCATCAGTTCGAGCTCAGAAAGTCAAAATGAATCATTTGGAAGCTTCAGCACTTGCTAGATCAAGTGTCGATGCTGAACTGGTGGTACATTATGTTGGGATATACTATTAACCATGTAATTGTGTTATAGTAATTTTTATTTAATCCATTGTAAAGATTTTTTATGTTATTTATTTAATAGAATAAAATCTTTGTTTAAATAGATCATTATGTATATATGTGTGTCCATTGCTTATATAGTAGACAATTTTGTGTATGGAGTATTTTAACTCATACGCGGAAGATTAAAATTGTGTCAGTGCATATAAGTTATAAATTTATGTTCACGATCAAAGATGAAGTAGGACGAACATCTTGATGATCGTAGCACAAGATCAAAATATAATTTGATCTTAATTATGAGAATGGTTAAATTTCAACTTCTTGTGCTAGTACATTTTGTATGTATTGAACGGACCAATTAGAGACATTTGTTTATGTTCTGAATATTTATAAATAAATTCTCTAGTCCACTACATGTACTTATACTCTTAATCTTGATATAATTATTATGATCTATGCAATTTATTTTATTGTTTTAATCTATTAAAAGGTGAGACTTTTTGATGAGTCAATAAATTCCTAATAGATTAGATAATGACAAATTACATTAGTGAAATAATAATTAGTTGATAGAACCGTGTCTCGGTCCCGAGTTGAAGACACCCCTTTATGGTTACTTATAAGTTTTCACGTGAAAACCCTGCAAGTGGATTGTATATCCGTCATGTGAAATAAGTTAAATAAATATAATAAAGGATTAATTTAGTCAATGAATTAAATTTTCAGAAAATTTTGATTTAATTGATTGGTGTCGGTAATTCTAACACGGGGGGGTTAAATAAGATGTAGTGGTAGATTTCAAAATTAAATCGAGGAATGCAATTACTGATTTTTAGTGGAATAATTTGTAATTTATTGCGATATGGTTAATTCGTTCATTTGAGAATTATTATCGTAATTGGAAGCCTTTATTAAATATATCTACGGTCCCTACTATGCCTGATTAATTGGCCAAGTTTGAAAAGAAGGACAAATTAATTTTATTGTTGGTCTTCTTTAAAGGATGAATTATTTGAGAGTTAAATATTGAGTTAATGACAAAAACGTTTGGCCTTAAATGGATGAAAACATTTTTTGTATTAATCTCAATTTATTCTCATTTTGAATGATCCTCTTGATTGCTCATTAAGCTTGAAATTTATTTGGTTTTTCCTATTCATTCTTGAGTTGGAAAACTAGTATAAATAGGCTGGATGTGGCATGAAAGAAATCATCTTTTAAAAACAAGTAATACTTGCCCACACAAGCTAAGTAACTTGGTAGTAACAATCAATCAGGAAATAGGAGAAGATTGTAGCTCTGGATCTTTGGCATCTGGACGACTTTTGTAGGAGTTTCAACAGGTTAGTCTTCTTCTAAATTCGTTCATGTTATATTGTTTAGTCTACATGTAAGTTTTGTGATCTTGAATATAGCTTCCGTTGTGCATATTCTATCACATTATAATAAAACGAGACGATCAAAATCTATGGTAGAAAAGCATCAAGAGACAACTCGTATCAAGTCAAAGAAAAATCGAAGCATGAATCAGTGAATGAAGAATGGAAAGGAAATCATCCATGGAAACCTTGGGATCGCGACAAGGATTTAACATGCGGAAGGAAAAATGTTAAGCTTGATGCTTCAGACATGTCTCAGAGTCTCACTTCCAGGTTTTCTTCCTGAAAGTAGACGACAAGTTTTAAATCTTAATGCAGGCAAGGCATATCTGGTTGAATAGTCTTTTTTGCCACATCATGTCTCTAGAAGAGTTGTGGTCATGTTCGATGTTTGAGTTTGTACTGAGCTCGATTTGATGGGGTGTCTGTCTTGAAGATTATCGTGGACAATGACATGCTTAAACATTCCTCGCGCTTGACAATTGCTAATGTATATTTGGTGTTAAATAGGGGTGTGCATTCGGTTTTTTTGGTTTGGTTTTACACTATTCGGTTTGGATTTTCGGTTTTTAGTTTTGTAAAAGTGTAACCCAATCCAATCCAAAATAAATTTGGTTTGGTTTGGTTTGGTTTTCCTCTATTCGGTTCGGCTTTTTTCGGTTTGGTTATTCGGTTATGTCAATAATTAATAACATATATAACCAAAGTAATAATATTTAATCCCTTAAATATTCTTTCTAACATAAATCATAAGTAAAACTTAAAACACAATACTTATAAGTATATCTATTATAGATGTAATTTAAACATAAAATATAAACGTAATCATCATGAAAGGCAATAACCAAAAAGGGACAAAAGTGGCTAACTTCAACTTAATTCTAAACCTAAACATTATATATATATAATTCGGTTTTTTTTGGTTTTTATTTTTTAAAATCCGAAATCAAACCAAAAAACCAAACAAAGTAATTTATTAATCCAAAACCAATCCGAAAAACCAAAAAACCAATCCAAATAAAAATTCGGTTTGATTTGATTTGGTTATTCGGTTTAATCCGAATAGTGCACACCCCTAGTGTTAAAGGAGAAGTTCCCTTTTTGTTGTGCTTCTACATGATTTATATATTATACCTTCAGGATCGCAATCCTGAAATATTCTTTTTTTTAAAAAAAAAAGAACTTAAAAGAGATATCCTGAACATGATACTTTTCGAAAGTTAATTTAATTGACTTAATAAAAACAGTAAAATATAAATTTCAAAAGTTTAGGTTTGATGCTCCTTTTTATACCAGAATAGTTGTCAAGTTTCATTTTTCGAGAGTTAATTTAACTACTTTTCAAAGTTAAAGTAAACTAATTCAATATTTTAAATCAAAGTTTAGATATTAAAAAATCAGACCAGAAGTAGGAGTAGTAATTAATACTCCATTTGATATGATAAATAAAATATATTTTAAAATATTGAACAAATTTTTTTTAATTTAACTAATTGGATTTTTAAAGTGGAACATGAAAAATATTTTGAAATAAAAATATATTTATGATATTCAATAACTTTTTTTAAAAAAAAAAAGAAACTCTCTCAAAGTTGCCCTATAAATTAAAACTGAGCAACAAATAACTCAATTTCTCTACTCTTTAACAGTAAAAAAAGGGCTAAATTTTCTCTCTTCTTCCGGCGAAACTATGGCGGCGTTGAGTCTCCGAAAGGGCAATACCCGGCTACCGCCGGAGGTAAACAGGGTGCTATACGTTCGGAACCTTCCGTTCAACATCACGAGCGAGGAGATGTACGATATTTTCGGCAAGTACGGCGCTATTAGACAGATTCGTATTGGCACAAACAAGGATACACGTGGTACTGCTTTCGTCGTCTATGAGGATATATATGATGCGAAAACTGCCGTCGATCATCTCTCCGGCTTCAATGTCGCTAATCGGTAAAAATAATAAGAACTTCTGGCTTATTTCCGGTTTTTCTATCGCATTAGGGTTTATTAGCTTAAATTTTAGTAGTGGATGTTATATTGGTTAAATTATTCAGTTTTTTCGGTTTCGATTTGGTAATCTATGTTTAATAATTTTATAAATTTTAAACTAATCTAAAAGATGTATGTAGATTTCGTAGGCGGAGTAAAGTTATTACATCTCTGAACTAGTTGAGGTTTGTTTTATGAATTTTTGATCTTATTGCTCAATTTTGACTAGTTTACTTCAATAGTTAGTAGATTATCTTTTTTAAGTAACTACGTGTCCGGGCGAGCTTGTGCTCACTTCAACTTAACACGCGAGCTTGCGCTTACTTCAACTTAACTTCACGCCGTACCTGTCACCTTATTATCTCCCTCCACCAAGGTTAGGACAGATGAGAAGAAATCACTTGGTGTTTTTTTGTCTTTGCTGGGATAGTAAATTTGTTTTTGATATGAATTAGGAATCCTTTTTGAAACCTGATATAGATTATGAATCCTTGATCTTATTCTGCTCAATTTTGACTAATTTACTTCAATAGTTAGTAGATTGTCTTTTTTAAATAACTACGGTGTCCGGCCAAGCTTGTGCTCACTTCAACTTAACTACACGCGATACATGTCACCTCTTTACCTCCCACCTTACCAGGTAACTATGTCCACCAAGGCTATGACAGATGATAAGAAATCAGTTGGTGTTTTTTTTGGTCTTTGCTGGGATCGTAAATTTGTTTTTGATATGAATTAGGAGTCCTTTTTGAAACTAGAGGTATCAACTTACTTAATTTGATGTATATTTGGTGTAGATTCTCAACTAGTTAGGATTCGTTATATGGATGTTCTATGTGAGCAGTCATTCTGCTATATCTTGACTTACTTTTCAGGAAAAAATGGGGTATTTTTAATATTATAGGTTCTGTTTTTCTACCCACATACTTATCTTGATGTATATATGGTGTTTTTGTTATTTGGCAGATACTTGATAGTTCTGTATTACCAGCAAGCGAAGATGAGTAAGAAATTTGACCAGAAGAAGAAAGAGGACGAGATAACGAAGCTTCAGGAGAAATATGGTATTCCCAAAGATAAGTGATGGGGAAACTTATGTTACTGTTTTCTTTCCTTCATTATGTAAATTGAGCCTGTCTTATCAAGGAGTGCATCACCTTTTGTGGAAACTGATCAAGGCACCCTGGCCACCGAATTTTCAGACAGAGTAGCTTGTAGTGCTGTATCTTATTCGAAGTTTGTAACGGATAGTTTTTGAGATGATTGAATGTTGCCAAATGGTTCTACCTATATCATGATGTTTTTCTTCTTTCCCTCCTTGCTGTAGTTACCTTAACATTATATGATGAGTGCATTTGCTGTGTGGTTTCTTTCTGTATGTGATGCTTCAGTTGTGCTCTCTTTGACACATGTTGGGTGGGTGACTTGTACCTTGGGCTTCCACACGTTCGATGTTAAGAGACATTTTTTTGTTGCTTTGCAGCAAATGGATGCTTGCAAATGATATGGCCTTGCCCTACAAGTTTTAATACCAGTAATTGTTTTAGTATTTTTTTACGATATCCTTATCTTCTATTTCGACAGTGAAAACCATATAGATATACACTACATAACTGCATGGATAAGCTCACACCAACCTGTCAATTTGAGATTCAAATTCAAGGTTTTCCTTGGGAGGTATTGGAAAGGATTTGGAACGACAATACAGATATACCCACATATCCAGATATCATTTTTTGATAATACACACGTGTAGATATCTTGCTCATTTAATTGCCAATGAGAGGAGATTGTTAGATATTTCAGTTACAATAGTACAGAATGCTCATGATACTCCTTCGTATATGCTAACGAAGGTGGTGATTGTGAACAAGCATGAGCTTTGCAGAAAATTTGCAGCGTGAAGCCTGTCCTTTTTATTTTGGTTAGATCATTCTGAATTTTTATCCGCAGTTAAGGAGAGCTGGCATACTGATTCAATTGGTTTGTCATGTTATCCGACTTCCACCTGAATGTAGTTATGATTTGCACTCATGTTTGAATTTAAATCGGGTAATTCAATGTGTATGCGAGTGTCCACAGGTTTCAAAGTCATATCTAAGAGGCTGATGTTTTGTGTTGAATTTCTGGTAATCACGTTATATTTGGTGGATTATTAAGTTGGTTATTCATTGATTTTATCAATGAAGGGCAAATGACACCTGTATACTAGAAGTACACTAACAAGTAAAAAACCTTACTGTCTTCTATACACATTGAAACCTCGTGAATCGTAGGTTCCAAAAAGAAACAAGAGATGAAAGGCAACGTCTCAAATATACAAATCCTTTCCTATTCCATCAAAATCTCTCCTATTTCTCTTTCCATAACCGTTCTTGACAGTATCCACTCAAGAGCAAACCATCTCAATATCTCCCCCCACATCGAGGCACTATCTTACAATGTAGAAGGAGGTGATTTTCATGTCTGTGCGCCCGAGCTTTTACAGATGAAACACACCACACCAACTGATATATGTAATTTGCCTCTTCCAGAAATTCTTTCTTGATAATACCTAAGGCCTATGGAAAGCTACCTTTTTCATGCCCAGCAGCTTAGTGCAAGTTATGTTCGTTTTGTTCATGCAAGATTTGCAACAATCTATTCTACAATATCTTGTCTTGTTTGAATGTCATATTGGATCAGCAAAAGACTATTTCCAAACTGCAACAACCTTCTATTGCAGTTTGATCTGAACTAAATGGTTGGTTTATCGGCTCTGCATTTGGTGAAAGCAAGAGCATTTTGATATGTATTTGGCGTATAACTCAGTTTTGTCAACTTGTTTTACTTCTGCTAACATTTGATTCATGAGCATCTGCATAAAGATTAGAACTTCTTATGCCAGATTATACTTCTTGCTGAGATGTAATGCAATGTCTCTCCACATTTCATGTCCTTGTGTCTCAATTCCCAAGATTTGCGGCATTATAGAGCTTGGGGAACTTGTGTTAGTTTTGGGGTATCCCATTTTCTATTTTGGACAAGTATTTGGTGACTTCTAAGTTTGTTTGAACTTTTTCCCTTGCTAATTTTCTACATTTTGTTGTGCTGGAATTTCATAACTTGTCTCTCTTTGGATGGTTTTAAGGTGGTGTTTGTTTTAAAAGTTTGAAAGATCCTCTTATTTTGTTGGTTTTGTTGTTTTCCTTCTTTTCATTTTTATGAGAAATTCATCATGAATTCTTCGATTTGATGTAGCACTGTTTTAGGTGTGCTGAGTATCTGATATGCTTGAAAAAATGTATTGTTTGAGCTCAAATTGCTTCTATTCCTGTCAATAAAAACCTTCCATCTCAACTGGGACCGTTCAAAATCAAATCGAAACCAATAAATTTGTATTGAAATTTTTTATATTGGTTTATCAGTAATGGGTTGTTCGTTTAGCGGTTTTGGTAATTGTTTTAACTTGTTTTATTATCGGGTTATCGTTTCTTAACGGGTTAACCAATAACCTGATAGTAAATTAAATAATTATTTTTATACCGTTTTGTATATAAAATTCTTGACTTAGTGTTTAGTTTCCTCTTTTAATTTCAGGCTGTCTCAAATTCTTGGTAATTCTACAAGTAAAAGTGTATTTTTGAGCAAGATGCAATAAGTGAATTCATGTGCATTGCTCATTTGGTTTGTCACCGAGATTTTCAATGATATTCTTTTCATGTTAAATCTTAACGATTAAATTGGTAACGATCAATAACCGTAAATCAATATCTTAATGGTTTTTTAACGGTTTAGCGTGTCTACAAATTGAAAACTAAAAAGACAAATTGATAAACTTCAAAACCAAACCGAAATGACTGATAACGCAACCCTGTTGCCAACATATGGTCGAGAAATATGCAATTTTCCTTCCTTCCTACGTATGTAAGCCACACAGTAACCAAGTTAAAAGAAAAGGTCATGATTTCTAATTTTTGTGATATCTAGTTATTTTTGTTATAACCTTTCCATTACATGAGGGCCACAAAAGCCAAAACACTGGAGACATAGTGTGTTGTGATCAAAATTGTGGTTTTGGACCAAAGAGACCCATTAAAGGATCGACTGGTTTAGGTAAAATATCTAATGCATCCCGCAACCAAAATCATTTTTGGAGGAGAGACTACATGTTTTTTTTTAATTTTTTTTTTTTTAAAAAAAAAACACAAATCAAGCATACAACTAAACTATTACTTATCTACCCATTTACTATCCATAAATAAGCTGGTATGCAACTTTACCTCTACCTTAGGAGAATAAAAGACTTTGCACATACACATTTCCCCCCAAAATAAAAGTCTTATTAGGGAGAGTCATAGTAGTAAATAGGCAGCTGCCACTCGAAACACCAAAACATCCACTGAATGCAATTAAGATAAGACGCATTCCTCTATTTTGGGTATTCAGTGATGAATTCATACGCGACACGCCAACATGTACCTTCGTTTTGAGCCTATGTTTTAACTGAATTCAGAGAAAAGGAAAAGGTAACATGTTTGATCTGTTAATACAAAGAAAATGATATGTCATCCATCACTTGATCTAAGTTCCACTGGACAAAAACTTCTAAAATCTGGAGGAACAAAGCTAAAACAGAACACATAAAGAGTTCCTCCATGTGCGAGATTGTCATAAGGCAGATTCAGGTTTCAATTGTAACTAGCTGCAAGTGCTGGGTAGTGGATGACGAAAGAGAATTGGGAGGGTGGATTGCTTAGCTTCCAGCTGTAGTTGGCACTGCACGGGGCTTCGAATCCTCAGCCTTTTCGTGTTCCTTGTTAAGCATCTGAAATGGATATCACAAGCCTCAGACTCTATCCTGATAATAGATAAATGGGCTGGCTGTGCAGATATTATATGCAGCAATATGTACTCCCTCCGTCACAATTTATGTCGAATTGTTTGACTGGAGCAGAGTTCAAGAAAGAACAAAAGATTTTTGAAACTTGTGGTTTAAAACAAGCCATGGACATTTGTCTAACTACAAATCATCTTATCAAGGTTCAAAATTTAAATTTTAAAAGTTAAATTGTTTCAAAATATATAGGTATCATTTATTTAATAACAGACTAAAAAGAAAGGTTTGTGGAAGCCAGGACATATCAACAAAATTCTAGGTATACGCAGGACAGTCACGTACAAGCAAGGACTCTGGTGAAAGATGGACAGTTGTATCCGCTACAGTGAAAGGTAGACAACAGAGTTCTAATCATGTGCAATTGTAGTAAAAATTGAAGACATTTGCACTTAACCACTGAACTAAGTTGCGGTTGCTGGCATATTCATAATTGAACTTTTTTTGACAAGCATTGAACACTCATTTAGATCTGTGTTACATTTGCACAACACATTTTTCGAAAGATAATGACAATCAAACAAGTGAAACTTTTGAAGCGTAGTTAAAAAGTAAAATGTACCTTGTTGTTGATCAAGTTATGGAGAGCAATTACACTTCGGATAAGCGAAGATAGATATATGACCAACATCATATCATTCGTTTTCACTGCAACAAGAAATCAAATGGGCACACAAAAGATTAAAAGGCCATATATCGGTGGTGGAGATTTTCTAATTGAAACAGAGATGAAATCCAGCTAATTTACCTGAAAATGATTTTACTAATTCAGCAACATTTAGATTGGGCAATAGATTGAAGACATCCTGCAAGAAATTTTTTATTTCAGAATTCAACATGTTAGCATCTTTGAATTGGACAGAAGTCTGTTAAAAATCAGCCTATCGGCACCACAACAAAATGCAGAGAACACTGACGGCAGTTGATGGATCAAGAAAGCAACACTTTTGTTTAGATGCAGAACAGGAGTCATTTTAGCATTTTATATTAAAACTCACGTGTGAGTGATAGATTTGACCTAGAACCTTGGTGCCAAAGATTCAAACATCTTACTAAAACAAAATCAACACACAATGATTCGGGAAGATCACAACAAGCAATGACCATATGTGCAACCAAACAGCACGCATAAAATTCTTTATAGAAAACATGTTGCCACTCATAGCCAAGGAAACAATATTCCTAAAATCTAGCAGCTTAATTTGTACAAAATAAGGTCCTTGAGCAGAGAAAGCTGCAGAAACCTTTTTTCCTGCTTAAGGACCTTATTTTTGAACAAATTAAGCTGCTAGTTTTTAGGAATAATCTACAAATTCATTAAACTTTTTACTTGAAAGTTCCCTACAACGTCAACAACCTTAAGAACATAGATGAAGTTGGCAACTGAAAGAATGATAATGAAGCCAGAAAAGAGAAGGAAAGTTGAAGTAATGCTA